TTCTGTGGGAACTGCGGATCCGGCCTGTACACGGAGCTCGAGGTCATGCCTGACATGGCCTGTGTCAAGGCCGGTTCGCTGGACGGCGGGGCCGCGAGCCTGGGGAACAAGATCGGTGTTGAGTTCTACACCAAGGACCGTGTTGGATATCTGGGGAGCTGTGACGGCGCCAAGCAGGAGCCTGCTTTTGGTTGAGGAGAAAGAAACTGGGGGCGCGTCCAGGTAGTGAATACGGAACGTCATGCTGGAGTGAATACTCTTCTCTGTCGAATTATCACGACCCCTTATGACTGACGCCTTGCTTCATTATTACTCTCCCTTGACGGCAGCCATGATGCGCCGCAAGCCTTCTGCCAGATAGCCCGCTTCTTGTGAAAATATGATCCTAAACCAGCCCGGCTTCTCGGCGCCAAACGCGATGCCGTCTGCCAAGAAGACCTTCTTCGCCAACAGAGCATCAATTACAGCCTTGTCGAGATGTTCAATCTCACCTGGATGGTGCTTGCTATATGCGGCGCCCAAATTAACCCACACAAAGAAGCCGGCATTGCTGCCCCTGCTGTATTCTATCTCATTCTGCTTGGCCCATAAAAGCACCTTTTCCTGATGTTCCGACAGCTTCGTCTGGTTCTCCTTGATGTAGCTTTCCACCCACTCGTCATCATCGAGCGCGTTTGCCGTCACGAGATCCGACAGCGAAGACGTCCACGAGAATTCAAACACCGACATCAAAGCCGCCTGCATGCTTGGATTGTGCTGCGTGATGGTGATGCCCATCCGTAGTCCATTGGCCCCAAAGTCCTTTGACATGCCCCAGAGGACGTGGATCAGACTAGGGTCAATGATGCCCTCGGGATCGATGGACAGGACAGACTCAAAGGGGACGGCCGCGGTATCCTTGTCTACCCTGTTCTCGAAAACCGACAGGGCGTAAATCTCATCCGATATGAGATGGATCTGGTGCTTTTGACACAGCCTCATAAAGGCAATCAAGACGTCGCGGGGATAACATCGGCCCAGCGGGTTGTGCGGGTGGGCGAGGATGACACCGGCGATACGCTGGCCACGGTCCTTGGCCTTGAGAATTTCATCTTCGTACTTTTGCACCGCTTCCACGCCCATGGGGTCCAGGTCTCCAAAGGCAACGGGCAGCACTTCCACCCCGGTGCGGCGGCTTACATCTGGCTTGAAGGCCACGTAGTATGGCCGTCCCAGCAGCAGCGCGTCACCGGGATTTGCAGTGGCCCATGCTATGTTCTGGATGGCCGGCGCCAATCCATTGCTGATGTGTATGTGCGACGGTTCAATGGGCGTCACTGGCTTGAAGTGCCTGGTGAGGAAGCGAGCGGCTACCTTCCTGAGTCTTTTCTGTCCGTCGCCGTAGGTGAGCGCCAGCTCGGGAATGTCCAAGTTCTTGTGTATGTGGTCAATCAAAACATGGTGCATTAAGGAGTTTTCGGCGATTCCTAGGCTCACGTAGCCGTCTGGATTGGTTTCCGCATCATACAGATTATTGAGCATCATGATGAGTTGGTCTGTCGTAGAGGCATTTTGGTATGTTTGAACGGCTCTGGTTGAGAGCGCCATCGTGTGGGACGGGGACACGGAGGATATAAAAAATATGTACAAGTCTCAAGTCCGGCGGCGGTTGGTAACAGAGGAAGGCTTTCTGGGGGATATAGAGACATGATCCAGCCTGTAATGGAGTTGCGGACATGGATATATCTCAGCGCCAGGCCTGGTCGATGGGCACCCTGATAGACGGGGTGAGGGGAGGGCGAGGGTCTGTACAGCGGGGCCCAGAGACGGCATCATCGTACTCCGTACGTATGCTGTTATTTCCATGATGTCTAATGGCATTTGCTATGTTTTGAAAATCCTAAGCCTTGCAGAGTTTTAAAAGCCAGCCCTGAATACAACTAGCCACGGCTTTCCGACGTCGGTTCATTGGTTGCACGATTCTCGATGCAGGGCCAGCCCATTGGCCAGCGCCGCTGCACCACACTGCATCGCGCCTGCCGTGCTGATGGCTGCTACCTTGTCAAACTCGTCGCCTAAACGGAACACCGCCCGGCGCCGTCCGTCAATGGTACAAGTTAGACATGCCAGTACAAAACAACACATTTCATGAACTGAGGTCCAAATCTGGGAGGAAAATCCCACATGGCAATGCATAGAATCAACTGTTATTAAACAGAAAAAAAAATTCACTTCCCAACCCGTGTTTACCACCCATTCTAGAAGTTTTTAGGCCAGTGTCCCAGAGGGCGCGCCGCCTGTCCAATAAGATTGCCCGTGGCTCACGGGGAACCCGGCCAATCGAAATTTCCGCACAGATGGTGGTGTCCAGTGCCTGGCAAAAGTTGGAGGGCGAAGGCGGCGGCCAGGGCTTGACATGCCCCTCCGAATTTGTATGGCGGGGTGCGTGACTGTATTTTCTGCCCCTCCGTCTGTCGCTCAGACGTGACTCGACTTGCGACAAGAAAAAAAACTATAAACCGCGAGAGGAACGGCAATTTGCACCCAGAGCACACCATACCTGTTGATACCCTTAGAACTGCAGACTACACTATGCCGGACAACTCAGCTACCTCAGGCGAGCCTGCCGCCGCCGAGGCCGCCGCCGCTGTCGCCAAGCTTCACCTCGACGAAGTGACGGGCGAGATGATCTCCAAGACCGAACTCAAGAAGCGCCAGAAGCAGCGTGAGAAGGAGGCGGCCAAGAAGGAGAAGGCTGCTGCCAACCCCAAGCCCCCGGCTGCCAGCACCAAGAATGCTGAGGCTGCTGAAAAGGAGCTCACTCCCAACCAGGTGCGCAGCTATTCGAACCCATTCAGATCCCGCCCTTTAATTTCGATAGAGAAAGAAAAGACGAACTGTTGGTCGACTAACATTCATTCACCCTATCAGTACTTTGAGATTAGATCGCGAACAGTCAACGAACTCCATGCCCAGGGCAAGGCTTACCCCCACAAGGTAGATAACCTCGATGAGTATACACACCAGGCGAACAATTTGGGTCTAATTCATGCAGTACCACATCGATTATGACATCCGCAAGTTCGAGGACGACTTCAAGCACCTCAAGAACGGCGAGACCGACAAGTCCAGGATGATCCAGCTGGCTGGAAGAATCTATGTCCGCCGCTCAGCTGGTTCCAAGCTTTTCTTCTACGATATCCGCTCCGACGGTACCAGACTTCAGGTCCTCGCCCAGGCCGACAACCTCGACGACAAGGCCCCCAGCTTTGACGAGCAGCATGTCAACCTTCGAAGAGGTGACATTATTGGCATTCGTGGATTCCCCACCCGCACAAACCCCAAGACCAAGCAGGGCTCAGGTGAATATTCCGGCGAGCTGTCGATTGCTGCTGTCGAGATTACTCTGTTGTCTCCTTGCTTGCATCAAGTATGTTTCCTTCCGTCCCTCCAGCCTGCCGCTCTATTTCATGATTCAATCTGCTCACACGGCCCAGATTCCCGACGACCACTATGGTTTCAAGAACCCCGAGACTCGTTTCCGCCAACGATACCTGGATCTCATGATGAATGAGAAGTCTAGACAAATTTTCATCACCCGCGCCAAGGTCGACTCATACATTCGCCGCTGGTTCGACGAGCGCGACTTCGTCTCTGTGCAGACCCCTATGCTCAACCCTATTGCTGGTGGTGCCACTGCCAGACCTTTCGTCACCCACCACAATGACTTGAACATGGACATGTTCCTGCGTGTTGCCCCCGAGCTCTACCTCAAGATGCTTGTTGTCGGTGGTCTCAACCGTGTTTACGAGATGGGACGGCAGTTTAGAAATGAGAGCATGGATCTCACTCACAACCCTGGTATGTTTTTTTGGCCCTTTCCCAGTGTGGGCTGCTTCAAGACTACACGGACTAACAAGGTTGTTTAGAATTCACCACCCTTGAATTTTATATGGCGTATGCTGATGTTTACGATCTAATGACCATGACTGAGGAGCTTGTCAGCGGCCTGGTCAAGCACATTCACGGCTCATACAAGACCACCTACCACACCATCAAGGGCGAGGAAATCAGCATCAACTGGGAGGGCCCCTGGCGAAGAATTGAAATGATTCCCGCCCTCGAGGAGGCCGTCGGCGAGAAGTTCCCTCCTGCAGACACTCTTCACACCGAAGAGGCCAACCAGTTCTTCAAGAAGGTCCTGGCCAAGACTGGAGTCGAGTGCAGCCCGCCTCTGACCAACGCCCGTATGCTCGACGCCCTTGTCGGCGAATACCTCGAGTCCCAAGCCATCAACCCCACCTTCATCATCGGTCACCCCAAGATGATGTCTCCCCTCGCCAAGGACTCCCGCACCACCCCCGGTCTCTGCGAGCGGTTCGAGGTCTTCGTCTCCACCAAGGAGATTGTCAATGCCTACACCGAGTTGAACGTTGCTGCCGAGCAGCGTCTCCGGTTCGAGGAGCAGGCCCGCCAGAAGTCCCAGGGCGATGACGAGGCCCAGATGGCCGATGAGACTTTCTGCCAGGCTCTCGAGCATGCTCTGCCTCCCACTGGCGGTTGGGGCATGGGCATCGACCGCATGATGATGTTCTTGACCGACAACTACAGCATCCGTGAGGTTCTCGCCTTCCCCACTATGAAGCCTGAATAAACCAGTAGTATAAAGTTTTCAAGACCAGTCGTCTAGAGTTTGGCAAAGACATCATACTTTTAGATGAATTTTTACGGTTATGAATTGGAATGAAAGTTGTCGCCATCTGTTTGATAGTCAATGGCGCTCTAGTCTTGGAATGCAGTGACGACAATAACACGAGCTTGGTATAAAAAAACAAATTATGTGAAAGGGTATCTAACTTTTATATTCGTGTGAGAAGACGTCATCACTATACTGTTCCCATTCCAAAACGCCATGCAATGCCCTTTCCCACAATTCGGAAAATTTCGAAATCCCCAGCTGGTTCCATGACCATTTCTCACGTAAAAACTCTCCCCACCCCCCCAAAAAAAATCCATCGATTCTAAAAGGCCGGACGGCGCTTGCGACCAGTGTACTTGGAGGAAGCCTTGACAACCTTGCCCTTGCGCTCCAGCTGCTCCTTCTTCTTGACGATCCACGCCCTGCTGCCCTTCTTCAAGGGCCCTGCGCCGCCGGCCGTCCTGACCCCGCGCCTCGCGTCGAGGATATCCACGTCGTCGGGGCCCGCCACCACGCCGGTGATGTCGCCCTGGCCCCCGGCGGCGACGGCGGCGTTGCCCACGGTCAGCACGAGGTACAGCTTGACGTTCTTGGTGCCCGGGTCGTCCTCGAGGACGCCGGCGCCGAAGCCGGCCCTGACGGCGGCCTGGGTGATCATGGCGCGCTGGGCGTCGTTCTTGGGGTAGAACTGGCAGACGGCGCGGGCGCCGCGGCGCAGGGCGGCGTACAGGC